GTAGTTGTTGTTGTTTTTGTTGTTGTACTGAGACAACACAAGAGTTTGTTGTTGTTGTGGTTGTTGTTATTATTGTAGTTGTTGTTGTACTGAGACAACACAGGGGTTTGTGGTTGTTGTTGTACTGAGATAACACAAGAGTTTGTTGACTTGTTGTTGAGGTTGTTGTTATTATTGTAGTTGTTGTTGTTTTTGTTGTTGTACTGAGACAACACAGGGGTTTGTGGTTGCTGTTGTACTGAGATAACACAAGAGTTTGTTGACTTGTTGTTGTGGTTGTTGTTATTATTGTAGTTGTTGTTGTTTTTGTTGTTGTACTGAGACAACACAGGGGTTTGTGGTTGTTGTTGATGATGATGTTGTTGTTGTTGTACTGAGACAACACAGGGGTTTGTGGGATATAGAGGAGGAGATATCGGAGTTTTTGTTAGTGTAGTTGTTGTTGTTGTTGTCATGGTTGTCGTGGTTGCGGTCACAGTTAAGGTTGGTGTGGGAGTATTTGTTATCACCATTGTTTCTATCAAACATGCATCATGGTTATCTCTCCTCCTTCTTCCTTTGTATGTTTCTCCCTCGTAACACCTCTAATCTTTAGGACTTACATGACCTTTTGTTTCTTTTGCAAAGGATATAAAACTCTCTAAACTAACAACTAATTAAACAACACATCAGCTGCTAGTGTCACCTTGGATCTTCTGGTGCAGCAGTTATGCCCTTCCTCGCTCGCTACAAACAACCTGAGACCAGAGATCCATTCCCCAGGAAGTGGCCTCTTTCTTTTTTTGAGTAAATTCAAAATTGTCTACGACGAGCACCCAAAGTAGTGGAGAAAAGTGAATGTCTTAGATAGGTGGACTACTTGGACAGCTTCATAATGATTTTGTAAATGAAAATTGTCACGGACAGCTTTTTAAAGTTTTAATAGAGGTTTTACAAAGCTCGCAACAGTACAAGGTGGCCATATTGGCACCAGAAGATTAGAGGTGTTACAAGAGAGTAACAAACATAAAAAAGAAGGACGGATAAGGACGATAGATTTTTTTTTATAGTAGAGGGCTTTACGGAGCTCGCAACTGCATAAGGTAAAGGAGGGGGGTTTAGCATATTTAGGCCATATGTGGCCCAAATAAGGTCACCCATTTTATAATTAGAACGGAGAAGCACAGAACAACCATTCCTGTCAGTGGCCAGCAAGCAAGTGGAGTTTCTTCAGTACTTGATGTGAATAGTGAGTGCTTCCTTTGCGTTGGACCAAAACAATCCACCCTTAGGCTGCTCCAATGTAGGAGAATCCCACATAGGACAAGGGACGACACTCATTGATATTGAACACCAATGAAGTAGAAAAAAGTAATTATTATTTAACTTGACTAAGACTAACACAGATATTACAGTCTTCTACAGGTGGCCTTTAGGTGGCCATTTGTACAGGTGATTGTCTTATACAGGTGGGCGTTTGTACAGGCGATAGTCTTATACAGGTGGCCGTTTGTACAGGTGATTGTCTTATACAGGTGGCTGCTAGAACAGGTGATTGTCTTATACAGGTGATTATCTTATACAGGTGGCCATTTGTACAGGTGATTGTCTTATACAGGTGACCGTTTGTACAGGTGATTATCTTATACAGGTGACCGTTTGTACAGGTGATTGTCTTATACAGGTGGCCGTTTGTACAGATGATTGTCTTATACATGTGGCCATTTGTTCAGGTGATTGTCTTATACAGGTGGCTGTTTGTACAGGTGATTGTCTTATACAGGTATCCGTTTGTACAGGTGATTGTCTTATACAGGTATTCGTTTGTACAGGTGATTGTCTTATACAGGTGGTCATTTGTTCAGGCAATTGTCTTCTACAGGTGGCCGTTAGAGCAGGTTCGACCATATTTCCACCGGGTCACTTAAACAACAGAGAAATGACATAATTCCACAGTCTGCCATTCAGAGCCACAATCTGACCACAGACCTGTCACTTTGGCGCTGGACAATAGACACAATCTGACCACAGACCTGTCACTTTGTTGTAAGACAACAAACACAATCTGATCACAGACCTGTCACTTTGTTGCCGGTAGGGCTGGGCAATGAGTCGCTTTAACAAAATCCGGATACTATGTTGGTGCACCTCTTCGGCAAATAATTCGATATGAACCGCTTCGGAATATGGGTTAGAACCACTTCAACAAAAGGGTTAGCATTACATTCAACAAATGGGTGCACCCACTTCGGCAAATGGGTCAGGAGAGAGAGTTAAGAATCTGAATTTGGATAATGTTTCATTGAGAAGTATCCGGTTATCCTTGTAGATTATCCGGATTTTTCCCATCCCTAGTTGCTGGACAACAGACACACTGACCACTGACCTGTCATAGAGAAGTTGAGCCTGACCTTGTCGTCGGACAACCGCTGCCTCTCCTCCTTGACCACCTCCACTCGCGTCACGTTGAGCGAGGACGCAGGGAAGTCGTAGGTTTTCCTGAGACAACACAGGGGTTTGTGGGATATGTTGTAGTTGTTGTTGTACTGAGACAACACAAGAGTTTGTTGTTGTTGTGGTTGTTGTTATTATTGTAGTTGTTGTTGTTTTTGTTGTTGTACTGAGACAACACAAGAGTTTGTTGTTGTTGTGGTTGTTGTTATTATTGTAGTTGTTGTTGTACTGAGACAACACAGGGGTTTGTGGTTGTTGTTGTACTGAGATAACACAAGAGTTTGTTGACTTGTTGTTGAGGTTGTTGTTATTATTGTAGTTGTTGTTGTTTTTGTTGTTGTACTGAGACAACACAGGGGTTTGTGGTTGTTGTTGATGATGATGTTGTTGTTGTTGTACTGAGACAACACAGGGGTTTGTGGGATATAGAGGAGGAGATATCGGAGTTTTTGTTAGTGTAGTTGTTGTTGTTGTTGTCATGGTTGTCGTGGTTGCGGTCACAGTTAAGGTTGGTGTGGGAGTATTTGTTATCACCATTGTTTCTATCAAACATGCATCATGGTTATCTCTCCTCCTTCTTCCTTTGTATGTTTCTCCCTCGTAACACCTCTAATCTTTAGGACTTACATGACCTTTTGTTTCTTTTGCAAAGGATATAAAACTCTCTAAACTAACAACTAATTAAACAACACATCAGCTGCTAGTGTCACCTTGGATCTTCTGGTGCAGCAGTTATGCCCTTCCTCGCTCGCTACAAACAACCTGAGACCAGAGATCCATTCCCCAGGAAGTGGCCTCTTTCTTTTTTTGAGTAAATTCAAAATTGTCTACGACGAGCACCCAAAGTAGTGGAGAAAAGTGAATGTCTTAGATAGGTGGACTACTTGGACAGCTTCATAATGATTTTGTAAATGAAAATTGTCACGGACAGCTTTTTAAAGTTTTAATAGAGGTTTTACAAAGCTCGCAACAGTACAAGGTGGCCATATTGGCACCAGAAGATTAGAGGTGTTACAAGAGAGTAACAAACATAAAAAAGAAGGAGAGATAAGGACGATAGATTTTTTTTTATAGTAGAGGGCTTTACGGAGCTCGCAACTGCATAAGGTCATATGAGCGCCAAGGGGGGGGGGGGGGGATTAAAAGAGAAGTCTTTACAGGGAATCAGACTTAGACTGCTCACCTTTCCAGCTTCAACAGCACAAGGTCTGCTTTCACTATCAAGGCACCCCGGAAATAGCAGGTCACAAGAGAGTGACAAACATACAAAAGAAGTAGAGGAAAATGACAATAGTAAGGATCAGGAAAGAAAAAGCAGCAGATGCCTGTTGTAGATCAGGCACAGTTATGAGCGTGACATGAGTCAGCCCATTTACAATTCTACTATGCTTGAACGAGAAATGTCCCCTCTTTGGGAATGGCCTAAAGACACTACAGTCAGTGGCACTGCCCCGGGGGGTCGATAGATGTTTGATGGGAAAGAAGAATCAAACCACACCAGAGCACCCGCCAACCACCCACATGGATAGCTGACCATCAGAGCAGGTACAACTGACACTGGGGTGCTGTAACCTTCTTAGTCATCTGTGTCAGACAGGGCTGAAGCAGCCGGCCCCTCACATAATCTAAATTGTGTCGATGTGGGCGTAAAACAAAAACACAAAGTTTTACCTTGGATTCACCAGCGGCAGGAACGGGTAGAGGTATGGCCGGCCGCAGTACACGCCATCACAGCTTGCCTTTTTGGCATTGGAGAAAATGGACGGCGAGTAGATCTCCAGCAGGCGGCCGCCGTGGAAGTCTAAAGGCTTATACCACACGTTGGCGTCTGTCTGAACCACGCCGCCTTCGTACGAGTGGAACTTTCTGTCGTAGTGCTGAGAGAGGGAGTTTAGTTTTAGTAAGAGTTTTACAGCACTTGTAACACAATAAGGTCATATAAGTGCCGAAGATTAGGTGTTACAAGAGAGTAACAAAGACAAAAAAGAAAGGAGAGATCAGGATGATAGATATTTCATAGGAAAGAATGAGCAAACCACACCAGAGCACCCGCCATCCACCCACTGAGAGAGAGAGAGAGAGAGAGAGAGACAGAGAGAGAGAGAGAGAGAGAGAGAGAGAGAGAGAGAGAGAGAGAGAGAGAATCTATTAGACTATACTGTTGCAGTGAATACTCCAACATTGTTGCAGTTGTGGTAAGACTATGTTTGAATTGCACAGAAATTGTAACTGTAAGTGTTTTACACCTTTATTGACACAAATAAAACTTTCCACCCACGCGGCGTGCAGAGCACACAACACTTGTCCCCACGGACCAGGAAACAGATGCGGTACATCAGTATTACACCTGTATCTCGAAAAAAATGCCCCAACAATTATTAAAATTTTCAGCATTCTGAGAAAATCAAAAGTGATGGTCTCATGTTCACCAAAAGATGAATTAAAATCGGAACTGAAAAAATTAGATCTAGATCTAGCTCATTCATCACTTGATTTCTCATCATGCAGGGTCTACTCGACATTTTTCAAAAAAATTTACTCCAGTTGTATACAAATTTCTTTTCGACCTCAAAGGCGACACAAAGCATTTAGAAAAGAAATCTAACTTATACATGTCAAAAAAGAGATCATTGCTGCAATGTTTTTCTTGCTATGTCACACTGTCGCCGACCGGCGCCCCGCGAGGAAAAGGGATGGCTTCTTACTGTCACTGACCGGCGTCCCTTGGGGAAAAGGGACGGCCGACGGTGATCGGCTTCATGTCTGGAAAAGGGACAGCTTCTTATCGAGCCGACCGGCGTCCCGCAAGGAAAAGGGACGGCTTCTTATCGTCACCGATCCGGCGGGAAAAGGGACGGCTTCTTAACGTCGCCAATCGGAGTCCCGTGGGGAAAAGGAATGGCTTCTTGATGTCGCCGATCGGTGTCCCATGGGGGCGAAATGTTAAGATCATTCTGAGAGCAGGCTACTTCGAGCCTGCCTGTCAGCTCGGGCTGAGAGGGATCCATCACCCCAGCAGACACAGGGAGATATTCCAATGAAAAATTTCCCACTTGAGAACCAAACTCACATCTTCTGCCTACAGCGGAAAAGAGAATAACCACCAAACCACAGAAGCTGACAGAGAGAGTGTGAGTGTGTGTGTGTGGGGGGGGGAATGGGGAAACAACAAGACTTTATAAATAGCTGTAACCACCTTCATGGTAGTTGTACTGAGGCTGTTTGTGAATCATGCAGAAGTGAGCTTACGGCGGAGAACGGTAGTCTAATATAATGGGGACTTTTGTGATTCCTGTATACTTTGACCAAGAGAGAGAATAGTTGTTCTTTTTCTCTAGAGAGTGAGGGTTTTAGTAGGAAGATGGGATGGGGTTGGTAATGGGATGGGGGTAGGGGGTGGCAAATGACCACCAGCATAAGACCATAAATCATACATAACAGTGTGAGACAAAGTTCTGAAAAGGACAAATCGACTACTTAGTATGAACTCCGCCATATGCTATTTTGAAAAGTGACTTATACAGCCCTCAACTAAGCAGTCCAAATAAAGTGGGGTTAACTTTTCTTTTCTTTTTTTTTTTTCATAGTAAAACCTTCCTCATTGGTCAGAGTAGCCACCAACTTACAATAAACATGGCCGCCAACTTCCAACAAACATGGCCGACAACTTACAACAAACATGGCCGACAATTTACAACATACATGGCCGACAACTTACAACAAACATGGCCCTCTGCGGCGAAGCGTCGAGGGGACTAGAGGAGTATGGGAAGCCCGCGGAGGTGAAGAGGACAGCGCAGAGACCCAGCAGGATGACGGCCATGGTGGTGGAGATGACGCGGCCTACGTGATGGTGGGTGTACACAAAGCCCACCTGTGGTAGTTGTATATATATATATATATATATATATATATATATATATATATATATATATATATATATATATATATATATATATATATATTATGTGTGTGTGTGTGTACACAAAGCCCACCTGTGACGTACACAAACACAGCTGGTAGTTGTATATATGTATGTGTGTGTACATACAAACACAGCTGGTAGTTGTATATATGTATGTGTGTGTACATACAAACACAGCTGGTAGTTGTATATATGTATGTGTGTGTACATACAAACACAGCTGGTAGTTGTATATATGTATATGTGTGTACAGAAACATAATTGGTAGTTGTGTATATGTATGTGTGTGTACAGAAACATAATTGGTAGTTGTATATATGTATGTGTGTGTACACAAAGCCCATCTGTGGGGTACAGAAACATAATTGGTAGTTGTATATATATATGTGTATGTGTGTACACAAAGCCGATCTGTGCTGTACACAAACACAGCTGGTAGTTGTATTAATGTATGTATGTATGTATATATATATATATGAGGCAGCGTGGTGAAATCAGGCGCTCGTCAAAATAATGAGAGTCAAGAAACTGGTATGGGAATTTTTATCGAGGTTGGGCCAGAGGCTGGAAAAAACCAACCAACCCAAGTGTTGACACTGACATTAATACAAGAGTGCTCTTCCTTTTCCAGGGAGAGAAAATATAATCAGATACTGTTAAATTGCATGCCTTCACAAAATGATTAAACCAATACAGTGAGGACTCACAAAACACAAATAAGAAGTAAAATACAAAGACTGACTCCTAGTTAATGCTTAGTTTTGATCCAGCTGCTTTTATGCACAATAGGCAATGCAAATATGGTTAACGAATTTAATCAGAATGGTAAAGCAGTAGCATCAATTATACCATTCTCAATTTAGTTGTTTACAATAATAAAAAATTTTGAATGAGGTGCAGGAAAACAGTACAAACACATGCTTGAACAATACATGTAAAAACATTCATTGTGCACACAAGTTTTTTCTTATACATATTCCAATTTACATGTGTACAACTGTCCCCGTCGTTTTATGCAAGAAAAATTCTGAAATTATGCAAACTGAGCCCAAAAATGTGAAATTATGCGATTCTGTTAATTTTAACAAAGAATGATAAAGGAAAATAATAAAAAATTATGCAAATAATTATCAAATTTTGCGGGGTGCATAAAACCACGGGGACAGGTAAACAAACTTCTGCTGCTACAGATAATAGACCCCAATTTCCTCTTAATAATTTCCTTTCTTTTGTCTCGGCCCATTCCGATGAAATAACACATATCTGTTTCGTAGATAAAATAGAATGCACAAATATTATTCTTATAATTTTTAATTGTTTCGGATTAATAATATTACAGGCAAGCTCTTCAAATGGTACGAAGCCAAGAAAGCGAATTTTTTAAGGAGAGAGATAAAAATTGTTTTATTCTTTTAACAAAAGTTCCTAAATTATGCCGTTATAGTTACCTTTTCCCTCAACATTCAGAAAGTCAATTAGGACAAAATATTTCTTGGAGGACAAAATATTTCTTGAGCACACACTACCAATACCACAAATTAAAAAACTGACGTATGAAAAAATAGCCATAAAATTGTGGGGGCTCCGTACATCAGAACAGCTCAATGACGATAGGCACACAGCGAAGAGCACCGGTCTATAGTACCGTCAAAAATTTGTGGCACAACTTATCCTCAAATATGTCTTTTACGGGTGAATCAATGTCATCCACACTTTGCACAGCAGTTTGTATCAATTTGTCTTAACTTAAACTTATTTTTCCACAACAATTCAGGCTAGACTAAAAAACCTTTCCTCATAAGTTTATATAAAATACTACAAAACTCCTTCATGTGGAAAATGAAATTGTTCACAGCACTTCCTGCTTCTCACACACATTTTATATACGTATGTGGGTTACGTCACAGCTCACCAATGACTTTAGTGGCAAAACTAGTTACAAGAAATTAATTTTATAAAGACCACTTTTTGCACAAGAAGTTCTCTAAACATGCGTTCAATAAAGATAATCCCGCAATTAGAAAAAAAATGACGCACTTGCTTTTAAAAGTGATATTGTCCCAGCTGTAAACCTTTCTAAATCTGTAGAAACCAGCCATTGGGATTTTTTATTAGTATCTATTAAGGAATTTTCTAGAATAGAGCTAACAGGTGTTTACAAAAGTGTTGACCCGTTAAGAAAAATTGATACAAGTCACTGTGCAAAAGCTGGAGAGTTTATGTTCGTTAGTTGAGGAGATATTTGACCGCACTATAATGACTTCCTCATACCTGGTAAGGGAGACAGACGATGACCGTGAGGGAGAGAGAGAGAGAGAGAGAGAGAGAGAGAGAGAGAGAGAGAGAGAGAGAGAGAGAGAGAGAGAGAAAGAGAGAGAGAGACAGAGTGAGAGAGAGAGAGAGACAGAGTGAGAGAGAGAGAGAGAGAGTGAGAGAGAGAGAGAGAGAGAGAGAGAGAGAGAGAGAGAGAGAGAGAGAGAGAGAGAGAGAGAGAGAGAGACAGAGAGACAGAGACAGAGAAACAGAGACAGAGTGAGAGACAGAGAAAGAGGATTACTATAGGAGCTGTGTGCTGCATATGTTCTTTGTATTATTGTACAGCGTATTGAGCACTTCTTTGTGGAAATGCGCTATATAACTGCAATTTATTATTATTACTATTATTATTTTTATTATTTTTACCTGGTAAGGGAGACAGACGATGACGGGGAGAGCACAGAGGAGTCCGACCAGCACGTCGGGTGACGCCTCCATCCCCACGCGGCCCATGATGGGGATGAGGAACATGAGCAGCGTGTAAGACAGGTATACAATCAGCACACTGGGCACCAGACCCCCGACTAGGTTAAACAGCACACCTGTGGGGATGAGGAACACATGAGTAGTTTGTACAGCACGCCTGTGGGGATGAGGAACACATGAGTTGTGTGTACAGTATGCCTGTGGGGATGAGGAACACATGAGTAGTGTGTACAGCACGACTGTGGGGATGAGGAACACATGAGTCGTGTGTACAGCATGCCTGTGGGGATGAGGAACACATGAGTAGTGTATACAGCACGCTTGTGGGGATGAAGAACACATGAGTAGTGTGTAGGACAGGTACACCACCAGGATGAACAGCACACGGGGAGTGCACAGCCTTGACCTTACACAGCATCTATGTTCCGCGCAATTTACCCATCGGCGTAATCTTGCACTGTGTGTTTTAACGATCGTACAATTGTATTATTCTTGTGAGCTCTTCAGTTTGATATCTTAATTTTGATTTTAATTTTCATATTTCTACACTTTTGAATATATACGTGAATGTTCCTTGATGTGAGTAAAAGAATAAAGATGGAAGTGAATATAACAAAATTATTTCAAAAATATAAAATAAATTAAATGTATTTTGTGAACTTTGAGTTTGATACCTGGCATTGTACCATTCTTGTAAGCTTTTCAGTTTCATATGTTAATTTTAATTTTCATATTTTTACACTTTTATAATAATAAATTGCATTTATATAGCACATTTCCACAAAGAAGTGCTCAATGCGCTGTACAATAATACAAAGAACATATGCAGCGCACAGCTCCTATAGTAATCCTCTTTCTCTCTCTCTCACTCTGTCTCTCTCTCTCCAGTACATCCTTGAGTAAAGACAATCCCACAAAGCTTACCCATACACCCTTGCACACATTGATGAATTCACACAGTCATAAATTCTTACAGAACAGAACAGCTTGAATATACATGAATGTTCCTTTATCTGAGTAAAAGAATAAAGATGGAAATTAATTTTTAAAAATTATTTTTAAAATATAAAATATTAACACAATTTTCAGATTGACGCACAATTATTCGATCCCTAAAACGTGCAGCGCAATCTTAAGCTCAGATCAACAAATTGTGTGGAATATCTACATGCTCACTCCTCATCACATCAGAGAGTGTTCATGACTGTGATGGTAAGTCCGCACTTTTTTTAAGAGGGCGCCACCAAACTTTGAGGACACTTTTTTAATTGGCTCAAAGAGAGGAGTGAACTATCTTGTTATGTACGATCTTTGCCAGTACACAGCCTCCACACACTCACATTTTGTCAGCGTGTGTTCACTACTGTAAAAGCTATAGGTTTTGTCACTCACAGGACATAGTGGACAAAAGTCCAGAAGTGGAACATGTCTCAGTATACACGGTCTTTGCCCGTCTTTTTAAGTTTTAGATAAAGAAAACAAGAATGACCATGTGACAATGGTATTCCATACTCGGATCCTCTAAGACGTATTGAACACATTTTCTACATACTTGTTAGCAGATATGAATTCTAAATGTTGAAAACTGCAAGCAGAAATACATAATGTTGGTTCAATTGTTATTTTCAAAAAGTTTTTGTTGGCCCGATTGAAAATATTTTGCTTTCTGGCCTTTCAAAAATCAAACAGTTTGCAGAAGATTTGACTAAGAAAGTGGCGATGAATGGGACACACTCTCAGAAAGCCCAGCGAAAACATCACAAGACAGTCACAGCAGTGGAACTGACAGGGAGCACGAGGCAGGGGTAGGCCATGGGAAACGGAGGAGATGGATGGAAAGGGACATGAGAGAGATGAAGCTCACTTGGAACGAGCTAGGAAGGATGGCTCAGGACAGAGATAAATGGAAGGAGCTTGTATGTGGCCTATACCTTGCCAGGGGTGAAAGGTGTTGATGAGAAGATATGGTCGCTTTTAAGGACAAGCGGGCTAACCCAGATTTCGGGTGTTTCCAGAAATCTTGACCTACACCAAAAGTGGGCATTGCCTTACCTATAAGAGAAATTTGGTTTCATTGGTGTGTATATTTGTTTGGTTATAGAGAAAACTCTCAATGTCTTTAAAAGAAACTGAAAAAGGAGCAAAATCTTTACCTTTGATTTTCTCAAAACAGCATTTTTCGGGATAGCCCCCTTGTCCTTAAAAGCGACCATATGACATAAGATGACCTACTGACCCGTGGGTTTGAAGCCCAGTAAGTCCAGCACGGTGTAACAGATGACGGGCCAGAGTACAAACACCAGGGGCAGGTAGGAGCTCATGAGGCCGCCCAGGGTGGCCAGGGCCAGCACCAGCGACCACAACATCAGGTTGCCATTCTGCAGCATCACCACCATGCTCGCCGCCGACACTTGCTGCAAACACACAGACAGACAAACAGATAACCTTTCAGCATGTGTAACAGTGGTTATTTGAACTCCAAAACTACAGTCGAACCTGGTCTAACCTAGACCTGCATGTGAGCCTCAACCAGATTGTCTGAAAATTGAAAATTTTGCGCAACCCCCCCCCCCCCAAGAGCTTTTGTGGGTTTCATAAGGAAGGACTTCCAACCCCAACCACCCCAACAAACACAATAAAGAAGAGTCATAACCCTAACCCTACCCCTAGGCCTGCCCTAAAAAAAGAACCTGCGCACGGGCCTCGTGTAAAAAGGCCAGCAAAAGTCCAAAATGAAAAAATAAAAAAAATTTAAAAACCACACTCCAAAACTAATAAGGAGCATAATGATAATAATATGGCCTAGAATCTAGATCTAGATCTCTCACATTTTTATTGCTATTATAAATGGTTTGATACAATAACACAATAGAATTATTAATTATATGAATCCTCCACATATAGATCTAGTAATCTAATTAAATCTAGATCTAGATATCTAGATCTAGATCTTGTAGAACAAGTGAATAGGAATAGGCCTTGAACTAGAAATCCGCATCCGATTCCGAACAGAGGGACTCAGCTGAGTCTAGATTCTAAATTAATAAATAATTCACGCACCTGATGAAATGCTTTTTACCAACATTAATATTACAGCACAACCTATGATAGGGTTTGACACAATAGAATTGGTATATGAATCCTCCATTGAGGTCTGTAAAGATCTATAAATCTAGATCTAGATTCTATTAGACATGTTATTAGAACAAGTGAGTCGGACTTGAATGAATCCACACGATCTGAACAATTGAATTAGTCAACAAACGAAATTCAAAATGGCCGCTCGAGCACGAAACTGAAAGTAGATAATTTAGGCCGTCGTCCTTTTTCGTATTCGCATTTCTACTCAGGTTCCGACAATTATGTCGGAAACGCCGACGTCGGCAGTCGGCGGTCGGCACGAAAACGAAAGTGCCGACAATGCCGACAGGAGAAAAAGGGGGCGCTGGCAGACGGCCAGGCCTCGCACTACGCACATTGACTGGTGTGACTGATACAGGTGGGCCTAGCAATAGCATCGGCCGGCTCGCGGGTCGAGTCGCGATTGTCGGATTTCAGACTATTGTCGGTAAACATGCAGGTCTACTAACCATAGCCATCTGTCCGAGACAATCACCTGTACAAACAAACCCCTTCTACTTTCCCCTTTGCATTCTTTAAAATGGTCGCTTTTAAGCACAAGGGGGCTATCCCAAAAAATGCTGTTTTGAGAAAATAGAAGTGAAAGTTTTTGGAACCTTCTTCAGTTTCTTCAAAAGACAAGGAGAGTTTTCTCCATAACCAAACAAATATACACACCAAATAAACCAAATTTGTCCTATAGGTAAGTCAATGCCCACTTTTGGTGTAAGTCAAGATTTCTGGAAACCTCCGATATCTGGGTTAGCCCGCTTGTCCTTACAAGCGACCAAATATAACGACAACATCCAAGACATCAACATGTGTAAGACAACCATTGTTCTCGTCAATGGGTGGCCATCTGGGACAATTTTGATTGCAGTCTAAGTCCCTTTTTTTTTTAGTAAGAGTTTTACAGCACTTGCAACACAATAAGGTCATATAAGTGCTGAAGATTAAAGGTGTTACAAAAGAGTAAAAAATATAAAAAAGAAGGAGAAGAGAACAAGACGATAGATGTTTGATAGGAAAGAAGGAGCAAACCACACCAGAGCACCCGCAAACCACCCACACAGTTTGAGTTCAAGTAAAGAGAAGCATATCAACAGACAAAAACTGGGTAAAACAAGACAGACAAAAACTGGGTAAAACAAGACAGACACAACAAAGAGAAAGAAAAGAAGTGAATAGAAAAACTAGGATCTGACAAGATTATATTCTTACAAAAAACTTCCTCTCAACTCACAGGAAAAACTTTTTTCTTGAGAAACAAGTGGAATCCAATAGCTGCCGAGGTAGAGGGTAGCACAAAGAGCCAAATGATGTTCAGGTTGTGGGTGTAGTACGCCAGGTTGCGCTGACACAAGGTCAATGTCAAGGCCATGGCCAAGGTCGCCAGCACGATGACCACCCAGGTGGCCAAAATGGACAGCACTGACCACAGCATCATCTTCAAAACGCTGCCCATTCCTGGTCGGAGATCACAGACACCGTAAAGTTAGCGACAACTTTGTCTCACACTGATAGGAAACAAAGCTCAACATGTAAACCACTACACAGTATACGTATTATATATACCAAACTATAACATAATGTCGTTTATATAATAATGAGGGTTAACTTTCACTCCAAAACATAAAAAAGAAGAAAAGATCAGGACGATAGACGCTTGATAGGAAAGAAGGAGCAAAAAACAGCAGAGTGCCTGCCAACCACTCGCATTCAAATGATATAACAGGGAAAAAGACTTCCTTTACAGAAACTTGATGGCATCCTCCAACCACCCATAAAAACAAGGGAAGAAACAACTAAACAACTGGATGAACCAAGCAGAGGGTGTCCAGCTCACCAGCAGAGGACCTGTCTCGCAGCAATCTCTTGACAAAGGCTATGTATACGTAGATGACCGTTGTCCAGTTGAGCAGCATGGCAATGCGCTTGGGGTAGGCCACCATGAAGAATCCCAGGAAGTCAAAGAAGACCATAGAGCCGTGTTTGTCAGCGCCGGGGTCCACAAGCTTCATGCTCGTTGACAGAGTCTTCAGGAGGGAAAGAACATTCTCGCCTGTAAACAAAAACGAAAAAAAAAAAAAATGTTAATTAAGAAAACCCCCAAATGATTTTAAAATTTGATGACAAAATTACAGTCAAATCCCTGAACTAGCAGTAACTTAAAAAAAAAAACCCCAAAAATATAACTGATACTGGAATTTAGTTTACAATAGTAAACATACACACAATTTATCAATATTAGGTAGTGCATAATACCACTCCAGTCTTAAACACATGCCCTTGTAGATCGCTACCGTTCAGCACCCTGTTTTAAACTAGGTGTAGGTGTACATGTATGGGCTTAAATGCGTGTACTTATGTACGGTACACAGATGTGCATCTGCGTGAATTTGCACGTGTTCCTTCAACAACCTCGATATGTTGAAAAACAAAAATAAATTAAACATTGATGAACCTAGAAACTCAATACCACAGGTGTCAAACTCAAGGGCCACAAGCAGCATCTAGACCGGTGAATAATCATATCTGGCCCATGAGATAATTTTAGGAAATCCATCCTAAGAATCTCTGTAGCACAGAACCTTACTCCAAATATCCAGGAACTTGTTTAACACCTTGCAGTCAAACAGCCAGCAGTACCAAATACCCCATCTGGTCACCCAGCCACGAGAGTGACTGTAACGGATTTCTCGGGCATGGCGCAGAACTGCACCAGGTGACTGGAACGGATAATTTTCACTGTCACATTATTGCGCTAAGTGACCGCAACGTGTTAAGATGCCAACCATTCAGCTCTGGCAAATTGGTATGTCCAAACTTGCTGCAGTTTCGACAGTAGTTTGTTTTAATTCATATTATTTTATTTTAAAAGGTTTTAATTGTTCACTGCTCAATGAGTATTTATTATCTATTTCCGCCGCCAAACTGAAGTGTGACTTGAGTTTGTTCCCATACGGATAGAGTTTGACACTTCTGCTTAGTATTATCTTCCTCCTCCTTCTCCAGAGCAGACCACGTCCACTCCCTCCCTCTTCCCTCTCCCACTACATCCCTCTTCCCCTCCCCTCTCCTCCCAGTCCCTCCCTCTCTCCTCTTCTCCCACTCTCTCCCCCTCTAAGACAAACTAACCTCCTCTCTGCATACAGCCCGGGGGAATGAAGCGAGGCAGGTCGTTCCTGGTGTGGTACACATATCCGTTCTTGATGTGAGCGATGTCGATACCTGGGAACACACACACAGGACCGGCGGTTTTACTTTTTGGGATAGTAACAAAACACAGCGGACAAAAACCTGCAAATTCTGTGCCATATCGACAGGCCGAAGGGCTACAACCCAGACGGCCGCTGGATCGGAAAAGTAAAGTAGTTTTAGTTAGAGCTTCGCTCCACTTGCCACACAAATAGGTCGCATAAGTGCCGAAGTTTGGAGGTTTCACTTGAGAGAAACCCACAAAAACAAATGGAGGAGAGATAAAGACGATAGAAGTTTGATGGGAAAGAAGCAGATGACAATTTGAAAAGACCCCCCCCCCCCCCCCCGGGGAAAAAAACCCCCAAAAACCCCAAGGAAAATCTCTTTTGAAGAACCTAGCCATTTCCTCCACGAGAACGTTGACCACATACCTGGGATGTTGCCGTAGTCTCGGAAGATGCGGAAGTCTGTGTCCGATGGAATGAGACCGGTCTGGAAAATCTCTTGACCAATGACCGAGGCGTGTGGGTACGGGGCAGACTCAATGTACGCCTTGATCAGCCATGGATGTTCCGGACCTTCAAACATTCGTGGGAAATGTTCATAAAAGCGCCATGGGGAGTGGGTTTAGTTTTAGTTTCGTAGAGGTTTTACGGCACTCGCAATTGTATAAGGTCATGTAAGCGAGAGGGGTGGATGTCAACAGAGAAGCCCTTACAGGGAATCAGACTTATTCTGCTCACCTCTCTAGCTTCAACAGCACAGAGCACAAAGTTTGCTTCGACTATCAAGGCACCCCGGAAATAACAGGTCACAAAAGTGTGACAAACATGCAAAAGAAGTAGAGGAAAAATGAAGATAGTAAGGATTAGGAAAGAAAAAGCAGCAGTTCCTTGTTGCAGCTCAGGCATAGTTATGAGCATATCATTGATGTATCAGTCCATTTACAATTCTACTGTGCATAAGAACATGTTAATGTCCCCCCCTTTGGGAATGGCCTAAAGACATTTCAGTCAGTAGCACCGCCCTGGGGGGTGGGGGGTGGGGGGGGGGATTGGTTTGTTAGAGTAACAAGAAGCACATCACTACAATGATGGTCCTCGACAGCAGGGAAAAAGATACAGACAGGAACAGAGGAGGGAAAGAAAAAAAGTAGGACCAGCCCAGTGGGTACATATTAAGGCAGTAGGCTTAAACAGGAATGGTCACTCCCTAGTCTTGTTGGAGAAAGACAAAACCTTGTGAGTTTTTGCGTAAATATTTCTGATGTCAATAACTCTGTGGCTGTTAAATTCAAAGAAGACCATCAGGGTTGGGAAAAACTTTTTAATCCTCCCTCCTAAAGTCAGACCCTGACAATGCTCCCCACATGGTGCAAAACACTTTTTTTTTTCTTTTAAATGTAGGTGCTTTTACACCTCCATCCACACAATTTAGATCATTAACAGGGATGCCACTGGACTTTTGTAAAAATAACTGAAAATTTTTCTGAGACTAGATTTAGCACGCAACGAAGCAATAAATACAACAAAACAACATCATATCAGTTCAACATTAAAACAAAGTTCCTAACAAATGAAGAACGGAAAAAGGATTTAAGAACGGACAACACCCAAAATAACGGGAACAAAACAGAAATAACGGAAGGGGGGGAGGAATCCTCCAAATTCTTCTTTCCACAGAAGACGGTAATAAAGGGTGGGATGTCTCCTTTAACTCATTCGCTACGTATTATTTTCGGCTTGTGGACGAATTCTTTTCGGGAGGGCGAAATGAGATGGTGACTAGTGCGCAGTTCACAGGTCTTTGGGGCCATAAATTCAAATAAATATCAACATATTATATACCAACATTTTCAGTATGGTTTGTAGAATACACCTGCATTATTTATTTGCGTATTTTTCAACTTTGGTTCCTGTAAGAGGCGATTATACAACACAATTGTGATTGGATGCGGATAAAATTGGAAAATAAAAAATTTATAATCTCAGGTGAAACTAAAAAAACATGTTTGCACCTAGTCAAATGATACCTCAAAATAACCATAACTGTATATAGAACAGGAAAATATTGAAAAATGTGCAGTTATTTACATACATTCCATAATATTTGTACATTTGGATCATAACATCAGATATTGAAAAAAAAAATAATTTTGAAATAATTTTGAAAAAAGGATCACAAACAGAAAACAATATGCGTAACTTATATGGAATTATTCAGAATTGCACTTGGAATAAACCTATACATGTCTTGAGTGGTACTTTTTGATAATTTGGGGAGAAAAAAATATTTTGACTATTTAGATCTAGGCCTAGATCTAGCACTCAAAAATATTGATTTCTCAATTACAGTGCACCGGCAATTTGCTTCCATTAGTATCAATATTATAAAGAAGAGTCCTACACTTCTTTAGTGAGCAAAATAATTATACATTTTGTTGTGTAAAAGTACTAAGACTGGTGTCTGGGCTATAATTTGGGCTTCGCGATAAAACAAAGTCGAATAAACTACGAAATCATGTTTCAAAACTGAATAAAAACTTCCAATTTTCGGTGGAAACGCTTGACCCGGAAGTCAACATTATATTATGACCTTTATTCTAACATGGATAAGTGGATTGGAATAGAAACCAAGCTAAAATTGAACGTCGGTTCTCGAGCCGCCGGGGGCGGCTTAACGTACTGACGGCACTTGAGCCGCGCCGCCCCCCACGGCTCGGCGTAGCGAATGAGTTAAGAACTGACCTGTTTGGAAAACAATCTCCCAGCCCCCGGCACCGGCAGAGTCCAGGTTCACAAAGGCTTTGATGCTCGGGGCCCACGGGTGTTGTGTGATGAAGCCGTGACTCGTCTGAGAAACACAAGTCCGTTTGAGAAAAGAATATTTACTGGGTTTTTTTTAAAGGCACTTGCAACAAAATAAGGTCATGTAAGTTCCGAAGATTAGAGGTGTTAGTTTAGTTTTAATAAGAGTTTTACGGTACTTGCAACACTATAAGGTCAAAAAGTGAAGCGAAGAAGATTAGGTGTGTTACAAGAGAGTAACAAATATTTAAAAAAAAGGAGGAGAGATCAGGACGATAGGTGTTTGATAGGAAAGAAGGAGGTTTTAGAAGAAAGTAACAACCACAAAAAAGAAGGAGGAAAGATAGATCATGTGTGATACATACGAAGGAGCAAACCACATCAGAGCAACCACCAACCACCCACAAAGAGAAGCACAGCAATAAAATGATGGTAATGTCGTGCAAATACAGAGTGAAGCAGACAGACAAACAAACAAAAAAGGAAAGAGGAGAATTAGGACAAACCAGTGGTGCTGCCCTCCAACCATCCACTGAGAAGTAAAACCAACAATCAAGGTCGGCAAAGAAGCAGATGACCCAGCAGATAAAGGATTCAAAACTCAACTCAGTTCCACAAGAATTAATTTGTTAGAGTTGTAGTGAATGAGTTTGTTTTAGTAAGAGTTTTACGGCACTTGCAACACAATAAGGTCTTTTAAGTGCTGAAGATTAGAGGTGTTACAAAAGAGTAACAAACACAAATAGAAAGGAGGAGAGATAAGGACGATAGATGTTTGAATGGAAAGAAGAAGCAAAAACACCCACGTAAACGAGTTTGAGAAAGGGCAATAAGTCACAGATTATTCAAATTTCCCGACTGAATGACCCCCAAGATGTTACCAGTATGAGGGTGGACGTTGTAGAACTAACGAATACAAAACATTTGATAATGTTCGAATAAAGCTGGCACTACATAAATCATTTTTATGGCAGACACATTGAAATTAATGTGGCGGTTCAAAACCTGTTCGTCGGTGCTTGACATTAAAAATCAACGTGATGGTTTAAAACCCTTCAGCAGTGCTTGACAGGGAGGGCTAACAACAAAGGCACTCACAATGCATACACTCACACCACACAAATGAAAGGTGATACTGCAAGCACAAAGTGGCTTTCTGTACCACGTAATTTCCAGGCACTTCTGTTACTTCCTTTGAACCCCAAATTAAGGAGATTTTTTAAAAAGTGGCTTGGTTTATCGTCCACAACACATCATTCTTTTCTGCATTATTGTTAACAATGATTTTCTTTTTTAGTTTTAGTTTTAGTAAGGTTTTACAGCACTCGCAACTGCATAAGGTCATATGAGTGCCAAGGGTAGGATGTCAAAAGAGTAGAAGTCCATACACGGAATCAGGCTTACTCTGCTGACCTCTCTAGCTTCAACATCACAAAGTCTGCTTCGACTATCAAGGCACCCAGAAATTAGCAGGTCACAAGAGTGTGACAAACATACAAAAGAAGTAGAGGAAAAAATGACGATAGTAAGGATAAGGAAAGAAAAAGCAGCAGTTCCCTGTTGCAGTTCAGGCACATTTATGAGCATGACAGTTGAATCAGCCCATTTACAATTCTACTGTGCATTAGAACGAAAAATGTCCCCCCTTTGGGAATGGCCTAAAGACACTTCAGTCAATAGCACCGCCCTGGGTGGTAAAATGCTCAGTGACTCTGAACAGGAAGATCATCACGACAACATATATATATATATACACACAAAGACATACAAGACACATTATTTTATAATACAAAACAAACAAACAGCCTCACATGGACACTTTCTACACTCTCTGACCTGCAGGATATTCTCCTCGGCACTGTTGAACAGGAAGACGATGTTGTGAAGCAGCACCAGCTCTCCCTGTGTCAGGGCGCGCATCATCTCCAACATCACGGCACAGCTTGCCGCGTCATCCCCCGCTCCTGTTGCAGTTGGAGTTGGCTTTAAGATTTGACGTTTAGTAACTTTTAAAGAGTTTTACAGCACTTGCAACATAAACAGGTCATATAAGTGCCAAAGATTACATTTTGTACAGGTATTACTAGACAGTAAAATACAAAGAAAAGGAGGAGACAATAGGACGACAGAAGTTTGATACGAAACAAAGAGCGAACCACGCCAAAGTATTTGCGGACAACCCAACAGTATGAGAAAGGAGGACCAATCTCAAGGGCATATCAGAAGTACAGTTGAACCTGCAATGACTTTTTGACGGCCACTTGTATATTTATACGGCCACCTGCACAAACGACCACTTTCCATTTCCCCCTTGTGTTTTTTCTACTTAAATAAAACTGTGTAAAACGGACACCTGTCCAACACGGCCGCAGCCACCCTGTTTTGTCAACTAACTATAATCAACCCACGGTTAAATGTACCTGTGTAAGACAACCAAGCTTTGTAAAACATTAAGCATTTTCCCCCGACGCTGTGGACAGGCCATCATAATTCATTAACCTGCTGCTATTGTCAGTCCCTCCAATGGATGAAACGGTAATGTTTCTTGGGTCCCTCGCAATGTTTACCCAAGTTGACCAATGGGTAACAATAAATTTTCAGCTGCTGGTAAGGGAAAAGCATGTGATTCATCATTATAATGTTATAACCTGTAAGCCCCACCCACAACTCAGTCCGTAAACCCAGTCCGTTATAACACAATGGAAGTCAACACAAACTTGTGAAAGAAGAGCATCAAGGTGTAGAAGAAAATAGCATCCAGCAAACTGCTAAAAGATATGTGTATCTGTGCACAATAATTAAAACTAAAAATATTACAAAAGTCAAAAGAGGGCTGTTTCGAGAGGAGGAGAGGGCGCTTCTCTCCTGATTAGGGTTCGGGCAAGTTTAACCAGTTAGTTAGGGGCTCTCAGGAGATTTGTCTTCCTCCAAGTTCAATATAGATATAAATAGATCTAATACGGGGTGCCCATTACGGCGAGTCGGGCCGATCACCTGACTCGGTTGCCTGAAAACAAACGCGCTGTTTTTGAGCCAGCGAGTCGGGCCGATCTGTCAATCCCATCCATGTAATGGGTACCCCGTATGCATTCAACGCCAAAAGCCGAGAAGGTACCGGATGCTATATTCTCCCCATTTATTCATTTAATTACCTGGACTGTCTATGACAGAATCATAATGGCAGTTTACGAGCACACTGTTGTTGGCCTCAGAAACTGGGGAAACTTTCACAATCACATTCCGCAGATCTTGATAAACACTGGTAAATTCACCTATTCCTACATTGTTAAAGTCAAGCGTTAACCCACCGCTTGTTACTTGAACATCTACCGTCATTTTAAAGTGGGACTTTTTGCTACGTTGAATGGAAGCTATCATTTGTAGGATATATTCTTCTGCTTTCATATTAGCATCACTGCCTGAAACCCTTGGTCCTAAGCCAGTGAGCTCATCTAAATGAGCTCTTGCATTCTCCTCCCTGAACTCGAAAGATTCTGAATTTTTCCAGCACTTTGGGATAGGGTATGAATTCATTCGGTGGTGAACAAATACGCCAATACATAGATATACAATCCCAATCGCGACATAAGCTTTGGAAGCTCTTGGTTTCCCAACAATCGACCTGCGATTCTGTCCACGGGGGCCGGAGGAGGGTTGTGCATCGTGAAAATCATTTGCCCCTTGACCTTCATTAGCTCCAAGTCGAGATCTAAGGGGGTTTTGATCGGCGTTATTTGGAAAATTTCGTCTCCGGACATCAACATCAGCAGCATCACTTTCCATCTTGAGATGGAAAAGAGAAAAAGTAGCTGCACAGAATCCCAGCGGCCTGTCTCTGTTGAATACACTTGAATATTTGACCCTCACTTCTGTAAGGCGAGCATGCCTTCCTTCCTTCCTTCCTTCCAACTAGAGACAACAGCGACCGGACCGGGATGAGGGATGAAATGAAACAAAACAAAAGGGATGTAACTCCCATTGTAACTTTAGCCCATTCAAAGACCTGTCACATAATGATTAACCTAGATCGTTCAATTTGATCGATTTCCGGTTTACAATAGGGACGCACCACTTGATAAATTTGAGCCAGATAAAGGGCAAGAGGGGAAAGGTGCCTTGTAATTTCGATTGCAGCAAAGACAGTTTTTTCACCCTTCATTTTGAGACTTAATAACGTGCACCATGGGGCAAAAGTTTCGCAGTGAAGTTTTTATAGAGAGCGATGTGCGGCGGCCATGGCAGTAAACAATCTAGATTCTAGATCTAAGCCTACAAGTACAAGTCATAACCTCATCGATTTTCAACAACGACCTGATACACAATCTATATCTCTAGATGTAAAATGTAAAGGGAAAGAACCGAAGCAAACTTGCTTGGAAGTGCTCGTTGGCAGAAAG